ACGTCGAGCTGAGTCGATTTAGCCATGTCCATCTGTCCGTCTGTCTATCTGTCTGTCTGTCTGTCCGTCTGTTTGTATGCAATCTAGTCTCTCAGTTTTCGTGATATCCGGGTGAAATTTGGTAGGTGGGTGTATTTTTATAATGTATTAATCATTTGTCGGAACCAGAAGAATCGGACTACTATAACATATAGCTCCCATACAACTGATTGTTCCGATATGAGATTTTTCGGTATAACTTCTCCATTTATGCAGCAAGGAACATAAAAATTATGCAATACTTCCACCCATTATCAACAGAAAACCTAAAGTGAAAATTGCAAAGATCACAAGGGTCACTATAACCTATAGCTCTCATACAACTGATTGTTCAGATATAAGACTTTTCGTTATAACTCCTCCATCTAAGTAGCTAGGAACATGAAATTTGGCACTGTTGTCACTCATTGAAAAAAGAATACTTTCAGTGAAAATGGCGAAGATCGGGTCGCTATAACCTGTAGCCTCCATAGATAAGAGATTTTTTGCGATAACTTCTCCATTTATTCAGCTAAGAACATGAAATCTCGCAATATTTTCACTAATTACCAACAGAAAGCTTACAGTAAAATTAACAAAGAGCGGGTCACTGTAACCTATTTATATCCACCATATATATATATATATCCTTTATTTGGACTGCTAAAACAGATAAATTTCGAAAGCTATTCTATAAATAATAATATAAAGTCTACTGAGAAAATTGTCAAAATCTATGCTGTATAAGCTTTATCTCTTAAACCTCTGATTGTTCAGATACCAGTTATTACGATATATCTCCTTTATGTAGGAAGCTAAACCCATTAAATTGTACTACCGGTTTACATACTGATCACACAGCAGTGAAAATTACTTAGATTGGTGCTATATAAGGTGTATCTTCCATACATCTGATTGTTTAGATATCATTTTATATACATATATCTATCTCCTCTATCTATGTATGTATGCTGTAAATATATACATTTTTTCAAATGCAGTAATCTGTTAAAGTAAAATTTTCAGATGTTCATGAAAGGTAAGAAGCCTTCGGCATAGCTGAAGACAGCGCTGCTCTTACTTGCTATTCTATCATTTTGGAACTAATCAAGTCGGACTTGGATAATAGGTGTACTAATGTTGTAATTGATGGTATCTCATCGAAACCATTTATTTCATCCTCTTGAGTTCCTCAGGCTAGTATCTTAGGTCCATTATTTTTTCTTATTTTCATAAGCGATATTTCTTCATGTTTCTCTTCAGTTTTATTTCTTCTTTAAGGCCGATCTACATAGAACTTTCGTGCTGGGTTTGGCATTGGCGTTAGTTTGACAGAACGCGCGTTAAAAGTATGCTTGCTACAATGAACGCCTATCAGCGAATGTTTTACCCACTAAATTAACATCCTAACGACAGATAAATTTATATTTCAAATCAATAATTGCATGAAAAACGATATTTCTTGCCCGTATTTGATTAAAAAGTAAAAATATTTCACATAATTTTATTTATTTGCAACAGATGATGAACGACGCACGCGAAAAGTTGAGAGTTGGCCATCCTTCTGCTTTGTGTCGGCATTAACATTGCGCAATTTTGGCTGCATTTGAATTCATGTATGCATAGTCAGCTGTTGAAGTGACGCCAACGCAACGCCAAAGTTGTATGCCTACGGGCCTTTATACTGCTGTATTGATGTCATTGCGAATAAGGTTAACTGCAGTCCCTGAATTGGAACGCTAAGCGTTGCGTTTTCCAATGGCAACGAGTGCCAGCCCGCGCCATACCCAAATCAACGCGGCGTAATGTTTGACGTTTTCTCATTTTCTCTCGCTTTTATTCCCGTTACCTCTTTCTCTTTTGTGGGATGCTTCATACAAATTGTATGGGCATGAGGATTTTTGACAGTCGCTTGGCGCTTAATGCACGAATTTAGGGATGGCAGTAACTCTCTCCCTCTTAGGTCGGTGTTATGCAGACAAACTTTTGTTTGCCAAATTAAATGGCGACTGCTTAGTTTGCTCGGAGGTGGTTATGTCGAGTTTGGCACAGGGTTGCACGTTCATTATGGTTTTCATGGCTATTGCCAACACGAAATGAGAATTTCAGATGTACATAACGCGCACAATTTAAAATTTTTGTATGTGATAACACCGAATTTGCTGCAGTTTGACCAAACAAAATTAGTTTGCTGTGAGAGTCGCCAAACTCGCTCTCTCCGAGTTTGCTACAACAACAATTGCACGCAGTTTGCCAAACAAAGTTTCTGCATAACACCAACCTTACTGTCATATCTAAACAAAAGCGTTGGATTGAGCGTTTTCTGACGCCTAGCGTTAACGCCGAAGTGTCATACCTAAACAAAAGGGACAACACTACGTCAAATGAAGAATTAAACCATCAATATGCATTGGTTTGTTTGTGTGAACAACGAAAATTACACTTTATTTGATTCCTGCGACCAACTTTACTTCCTAACGCTCTGTCCAAATAGGATTTTCTAGCCGCTGGCGTTGACGCCGCGTTGTTTCGGTATGCTTCATACAAATTGTATGGGCAAGAGAATTTTTTTACAGCCAGACAACGCTGACGCTTTTGATTAGATACGGCTGTTAGAGACACCCTTATAGTTCATTTCCACCAAGCCTTAACTACAGTACCTGTTGAAAAAAGCAGATTACAACTCCAATTTGCTCAAATAAAGTGCAAGCAAACGAAAGGAAAATAGCTAAAATGAAGATATAAACCTGGTCGATCACCTCTCTTTAAAATGGTTGTAACTTATCCGAGCTCTTAACTGCAGTTAAGCGTTTGATGGAAATGGGCAATTACCGGCTTGCGTGACGACGCATGCGAGATCCCGCACGGGTAGACTGCAAAAAGTACGAAGCATACTTTTTCTCGCATACCGAGTGGTGAAGTGAAGTTTAAACTTTGCCTGTGGATAAATCTGAATTTTCATCCAATTGCTACCAATAAAAGAAGAAAATCCAGCTGAATTTCATTTAAAAATTTGGTAGCACCGATTCGGACTTAGTGCATATTAGAGATGGGCACGAGCCTAAATTTTCAGGCCCGGCCCGGCACGAGTGCAAAATCAACTTTCAAAAACACGCACAAGCCCGCACGTTAAGAATTTTAGTGGGGCCCGGCCCGGCCCGGCATGACGGGACACGCCCCAGCCCGGAAATAAAGAGCCAACTTTTATTGTATGTATACATATGTGCATATTTTTAATTTTGCGTTTATGTCTATATGTATAGTTACTTAAGCGAATCAAGATTTTACAACAAAGATTTTTATAATATATTTTCTGGGAAGTAGAAAAAGTGGAAGGTATTTTATGTACAGATATGTATGTAAACAGAACTACTACTTCCAAATATTTCATTTTTTTTTGCTTTTCTCTTATCAAAAGCTAAAACAAAACAAAAGCTCATCTAAATTTTTAGTATTAGCAACGGCCTTTCTCTTGCCTTTTCGTGTTTTAATGAAATTTTACTGAACGCCCAGGCCCGCACGAGTTCGTGCTGACAGCAAATATTCTGGCCCGTACCCATCTCTAGTGCATATTTATTACAAGAACATCGGAATTGCGAATAGCATTTTTTTTTCATTTCACGACGGGAGTTTGTTCGTAATACGTAATACAGGAACAGATTTATCATGAACCAAAAATACAAGATCACGTAAGAACGCGACGTTGTATTTGTAACTGGTTTTGAGAAAAAAGTTTGCGAAAGCGGGTTCGTCAGCTAAGCGTTTGTTTACATCACAAGCACCACTATTTTACACTTTTATTCAAGTAAAGAAGAGTTAATTCAACATGACAACACATTTTAAAGCATTTTTTGCATCATTTTACCTAAATTGTGCATTTAAAGTGGCTGACAATAATTTGGACTAATTTCGGTTTTCGTTGTTTTCTTTGCTTTGTTTACTTTTCGCTCGTTTTCCAGTGAAACAAGATGGCGTAGAACCCGCTAAAAAAATCGACTTTTTTCACTCTCTTCTTCTTACGTGATCTTGTGTCTTTCGTTCATGGTTTGCTGCGGCTGTCACTGCCAATGTTACCGGCCGTCTTCACAAGCTTGAAAATCTCACTTGCGCTCTGTTTTTTTTTTCTGTCAAGCGAGATAGTTTTGTTGACTGGGTATTTTACAGCATACTTTTCGAGGTTCGCGCTTTTCAGGCTAAATCTGTATTTTCAATCAAAATAAACGATGTCAGATTGAAAGTTTGTCCCCCAAAAGTATTTTAACTTACAGGTTTTTTAGCACCTAGAAAATTTTTCCTGCAAGAAAAAAACCTGCAAATCGCGAATATCGTGAACACCTGGAACGCAACTATTTTAAAATCTGCCACTGCGCAGTTGGAGTTAGGGCTTAAAGTCGATGTTTAAAATATCGTTGAATTAAAGTCGGTGTGTCGTCAATTTATCGATTTTAAAAAATTGTAAACATCGATTGCAAAAATCGAGTGTAAAGCTGATGCCAGATAAAACTTTGTAGCTTTGCGTGACATTTATAAATTTGCCAGCCAAGCGCCAGACGCAAAAGGTATGCCACAATGAACGCCAAGAAATCAATTTTGCACTGCTTTTTTACTCGTTAAAATTGCTGTGGATTTAAGATATTTTGCTTTAAAATTATCAGCAATGTAATTGAGTTTTATGTTTCAGCATGAATACTCGAATTTGGACGAAACAAAATAAATATTAAACCGGCTGATTGTCAAAGCGCGCAAAAAGATGGGAGTTGGCCATCTTTTCGCTTCGCGCTGCAGCTTCAATGATCTATGTGGCATGCTTTGTGCATTTTCATACAATTCATCTTAGCTGTCAAAGCGAATCTGTCACGTAAAGCGAAGCAAACGTTTTATGTGGCATCAGCTTAAGACAGACCGATATTATCGATGTTTCAAAAACATCGATGCAAGCCTCGCATATCTACTTCCAACAATTGTTTACATATTTTGATTATTTGTTGACAGGAATTAATTAGAAGCGCAGTACAATTATTTAAAAAATATATAGGCAATTTTGCAACATCTCATTAAAGTTACATCATACAGAGTTTATATGTATTTCTCCTAAATTGCAGTTGGTGCACTTCGGGTGCACTGTTGGGAAGTCAACCTGACGATTGAGTTGTTATTCATACACGATCCAGAAAATATTCTATCATTCTTGTTATTCTTATAGGTATTTATGTATGTGCATATCGCTTTGCTCGCAGCAGCTGTAAATTAATCTCTCTATTTAGCTTTTCAGTGGGTCGAACGCGCTCACTGTTTGCCGGCCGTGTTTCTCCGGATTGTTGCGTCATACAAATCCAACAGCTGATGAAAATTCTTGTACTTTTGCTTGCGTTGTCTATGTCAGAAATTGACAGTCGTTTTACATGTGCTTAGGCGAACGGACGCTGCTGGTTATACATTAAAAATGGTGACTAGTGAAACTACTTCAACGCCCTTACGGAGAGATGATATTTACCGGGTGCCGGAAACAATTCACTTTCCAACGGAGGAGGAGAATATATTAGAAATTTGGCGTAGAGAAAAAACTTTCGAGCGATGCATGAAACTATCGGAGCAGCGTGCGAGGTAAGTGAAGTCAAACACATGTGTGTGTATAATTTGATGACGCTGTTGCTGTTACTTTACAATTTGACTCATCCACAGGTATACATTCTACGATGGCCCACCTTTCGCCACTGGCCTACCTCATTATGGGCACATTTTAGCTGGTACAATCAAAGACATTGTAACACGCTATGCCTATCAACAGGGATATCATGTGGAGCGCCGCTTCGGCTGGGATTGTCATGGCTTGCCGGTAGAGTTCGAAATTGACAAGCTCTTGAATATACGCGGCCCTGATGATGTGGCGAAAATGGGTATTGCTGCATACAATGCAGAGTGTCGCAAGATTGTTATGCGCTATTCCAACGAGTGGGAAGAGGTAGTGACACGTATGGGACGTTGGATTGATTTTCGCAATGATTACAAAACGCTCTATCCCTGGTATATGGAATCCATTTGGTGGGTTTTCAAGCAGCTGTTCGATAAAGGGCTCGTCTATGAGGGCGTCAAGGTGATGCCATATTCTACAGCCTGCACAACAGCGCTTTCGAACTTCGAATCGGGACAGAATTATAAGGAAGTTGTGGATCCTTGCGTGGTGGTGGCATTCGAGGCGGTGAATATGGAGAATACACATTTCCTCATATGGACAACAACACCCTGGACACTGCCATCGAATTATGCTTGTGCGGTTAATCCGAATTTGATCTATGTGAAGGTATGTAATCATAGAAAAACGATAGGAAAAGTGTCCGCATAGATAATAAGGTAATGTGGATGTAGACTTTCTCACTTGGCTTCACAATGTGCACACAAGCCGTCAAAGTCAGCTGTTGCAACATTGGTGATGTGGGCAGCGCTGCCACTTTTCTGAATCAGTTTATGTGTTTTTTATTTGGAGATAGCGTTAACATTATTCCAAAATCGGTTAATCTATCGAATATTGTTCACATTTTTTTATCATTTTGTATATTAAATATTTTATAAAAATAATTATTATACCATTCAAATTCTTACTTAGTAGTATTATAAATATCCATTTTTTGCAGGCCCTTGATAAGAAAACACAACGCATTTATATCTTGGCTGAATCACGCTTAAATACCGTCTATAAAAACGAAGATGATTACAGTATTTTAGAGAAATTTCCTGGTACCAAATTAGCCAATGCACCATATAAACCACCCTTTCCTTACTTCCTCGAAAAAGGAACCGCAGCGAAAGCTTTTCGCGTACTTGTCGATGATTATGTCACGTCAGAGACCGGTACCGGCATTGTCCACAACGCGCCCTACTTTGGTGAGGATGATTATCGCATTTGTCTCAATGCGGGCATTATACAAAAATCCAGCAAGCCAATTTGTCCATTAGACGAGGTGGGACGTTTCACGGCGGAGGTAACTGACTTTGCTGGTCTCTATGTCAAAGATGCCGACAAGGCGATAATAGCGAAGCTCAAGGAAATGGGTGTGCTAGTATCTGCTGGTCAAGTCAAACATAGTTATCCATACTGCTGGCGCTCCGATACACCTTTGATATACAAATCTGTACCCTCATGGTTCGTACGCGTGGAGCATATGTCACAGAACTTGCGCGATTGTAGCGCGCAAAGCCATTGGGTGCCAGAAAATGTGCGAGACGGAAGATTTGGTAATTGGTTGAAAGAGGCGCGGGATTGGGCAGTAAGTTTGGTTATTAACTTCTTACTGGTTTGCCATTTTTATATTCTAAAATTTTTAGATAAGCCGCAATCGCTACTGGGGCACACCCATACCAATATGGCGCTCGCCTAGCGGTGACGAGGTTATTTGTGTCGGCAGCATCGAACAACTAGCGCAATTATCTGGCAGGCGTATTGAGGACCTACATCGCGAGACGGTCGATGAAATCGAAATCCCCTCTGCCATACCAGGCCGTCCTCCACTTCGTCGCATAAGCGCTGTGTTTGATTGCTGGTTCGAATCTGGCTCCATGCCGTTTGCACAACAGCACTTTCCTTTTGAAAATGCTGCCAAATTCTTGAACAACTTTCCAGCCGATTTCATTGCCGAAGGTATTGATCAGACACGCGGCTGGTTTTACACGCTCTTAGTAATATCAACGGCGCTCTTCAATAAAGTACCATTTAAAAATCTGATTGCAAATGGACTTGTGCTGGCCGCTGATGGACAGAAGATGTCAAAACGCAAGAAAAATTACCCCGATCCCATGGAAGTGGTGCACAAATATGGCGCAGACGCGCTGCGTTTGTACTTAATCAACTCGCCAGTAGTGCGCGCAGAGAATTTGCGGTTCAAGGAGGAGGGTGTGCGGGAGATCGTTAAAGATGTATTCCTGCCACTTTACAATGCTTATCGCTTTCTGCTACAAAATATTGCACGTTATGAAAAGGAAGAACTGCGCGATGGGGCGCGGTATCAGTATGATAATGCGCGACTGCTGCGTCAACTAGAGCACTCCACCTTACTAGATATTTGGATCGTTTCTGTGAAAGAGTCTTTGATTGAGTTCTTTGCCAAGGAGATGAAGCAATATCATCTGTACACGGTAGTGCCGCGCTTGACTAAGTTCATTGATCAGCTAACGAACTGGTAAGTTTCGCATTTACTGTCTTTTTGCAAACAGCATTTACAATTTTTCGTCTACACCCATGTTTAAGGTACATCCGCTTGAATCGCCGCCGCCTAAGGGGAGATCTAGGTGAATTAGACAGTCTGCAATCATTGGACACACTATATAGCGTACTCTTTGCATTAGTACATCTATTAGCACCTTTCACGCCCTTCCTCTGCGAATACATTTTCCGGCGCTTACTCCCTTTTCAACCAACCGGTTCCATTAATGCAGCCACAACTTCAGTCCATCAGCAATTAATGCCACAGGCTAACCCGAAATTTATTCGTCTAGATATAGAAAAATCGGTGTCGTTGATGCAAACGGTTATCGAATTAGGTCGTGTGATGCGTGATCGTCGCACAATGCCACTGAAATGTCCGCTCTCCGAGGTCATCGTAATCCACAGTGATCCAGATAGTTTAGCGGCTATAGAACGACTCTCTGATTTTATACTTAGCGAATTGAATGTACGCAAATTGACACTCAGCTCGGATAAGGAGAAGTATGGTGTTACGCTGCGCGCAGAGCCGGATCACAAGGTGAGAATGTATAAAACTTAATAAAATATACATACTCAAAGGTGATTAAATTTTTTCAGACACTAGGCTTGCGTTTAAAAGGCACCTTCAAAGCCACAATGTCTGCTCTAAAAGCACTCACCGATGCAGATATTCAAGCTCATTTAGCCAAAGGATACTTTACTATACTCGATCAACGTATCGAGCTTTCCGAGGTGCGCCTAATTTACTGTGTCTCAGATAAAGTACAAGCTAACTTGGAGGCGCATAGTGAAAATGATATACTCGTACTATTAGATATGACACCTAACGCCGAGCTATTGGAGGAAGGTTTGGCACGTGAGGTCATAAATCGCATACAAAAGCTGAAGAAGAAGGCGAAACTAATACCAACAGATGAGGTAATAATTTACTACCGATTATTGGCTGCAGGTAATGCCAACGAGTCGGGCAAGGTAAGCGTTCAAGAGTTGACAGAGATCTTGCAGAAGCACAAAAATTTAATCAAAAGCACAATAAAATCGGATTTATTGGAGTGCAATGAGCAAAATAAATGTAAACGAAAGCCCATTATTAAGGAGATCGCTAATGTAAGAGGCGTAGATTTGGAGCTCACTATTTGTACCACAGCAGAAGACAATAGTGTTCATTTACAACTCGTCAATGATCTCTCGCCGCGTTTCGAGCAAAGTAGAAGCGGAAGTTTGCTATTGAAGAATCGCGTAACTGACGAAGTCATAACTCTGCCGCAATTCTATACTGAAACGAATTTGATTTTTGGTCTATATGGCGTGAGTTACACTGTATTCTTATTTGATGAGACCCAGGGGCAAGTTCGTGCGTTGCAGGCCACTGATTTGAACGAAAACTTATATGGACAGTTGCTGGTGGTGGCGAGGAAGGCAAGTGAAGTCAACAAGGAGATGTTTTAGATCAATGCAAATGGTAATATGAAGGTATTTCGAATACCAAATGAATCTGTAAAATGAACTTCAATTGGATATATGGATTCTTTCAACTTATGCCAGTTTTAATTTATTAAAATTCTAAAATAAAAGAATGAATTTTAATAAATATACAGTTATACAAATTGTTTTTTTTTTATGGAAAAACTATGTTGAGGAAGGAAAGAGAGGAGGGAAGTAGGCTTTCTTATTCTAATTTGGCACTAAAACCGTTTGTTTGTTTGACAGAAATAAAAAAAAAAAACTTCAGTTCCTTCTTTCTTTTACGATGTAGCACCAGTTATTCATCATAAGTGCAGGGAGATCTGGATTCTTTGCTTGTATTTCTAGACGCTCTTTGGTTAGGTTGGGTGGCAGTCCCAGATGTCAGAGACTAACCTAGACAGTTAGGAGATTGTTCTTTGTGATACTAAATTCTGAACGGCACCGAACACTTAATCGTCCCCTGTCCTCCCTCGGCCAAAAGAACCTTGCAATCGGGCATGTCCTGGTTTTCGCCCAGCGCTCACTGATGAATAGTATACCACATGTGATAAATAGCATCCCAACCGCTCCTTATCCGCGGATAACGTTTCAATGGTACTTCTCCTAGCCAACTCGTTAGACACATAGTTCTCCGCAATGTCACTGTGACCCGGAACCCAACTGAAAGAGAGCAGACACTCCTTAACCAAATTAGAGCTCACCTCGAACGCACTTAAGGCCCTGTTAGCCGCTTGGCTATCAGAATAAATTCCCAACTACCTGACTGTCATCGCACTCCTAAGTAGTGACTCCACCGCCTCCTTAATAGCAGCCACTTCCGCCTGAAATACACTGCAGCAGTCCGGAAGCCTGAAGTTAGTAGCTCTCGACAGATTACCCCTCTATGAAGACGTTCACTGCGCCCCCTCTCCAGAACGTTATACGTTCTAGTAAATAAGACCAGTTCTGTCCGCCCAGTTGGCAACCATGTTGGGTCAGTTCTTCTACGTATATCAAAGAAGGCTCCTGCCAAAAAATCTTTATGAGTGATGGTTTATTCTATCCACCTTACAATTATGTGCAGGGTGGTTTCTACCGTTTACAATAATCGTATTGAGCTCTTGATAGGCGACATCGAGGAATGCCGCTGCTTATGTGCAGATCAACCAGTCTCACCAACGTTTTCAGAAGAAACGAAGATAGACTGATCGGCCTGAAGGGAGAGGCATGACAGCTCTTTCCGGCCTTCGGAATGAATACAAACTTGAGAACCTTCCAACCCTTGGAAATATACCCGTATCTTACGCAGCTCGCATAAAGCTCCGCCCTCCACCAAAGGAGTTGCACGTTTCATCCAAAACGAATTTAAAGTACCTGTGATCCAAAAACGAGTGTTGACTAAGAACCTTTCAACCCGATATCAAAGGTGGAAGGCCAGTTTAAGGTCAAGCACCACTTCCCTGGCGGCAATTCACATAAGATAAACTCGAAAAGTGACTCACCTCGAGAGTTTTTGTCCGAGCTTCGAATTCGGATTGGACCCTAAAACAATGCCGGATTTCCTTCGTTTGGCTTCTGCTATAGCGCTCCAGCGTCTCTCTCTAGGCTGGTCGTCACAATATCTTCATAGGTGAAATTATGGGAAGGAAAAGCTTTTAATTCACTTCTGATAAGTATGCAGGCCCTAGTTCCAATTGTACCAAAACTCACAATTTTACGCCAAGTTATACACCAGTGTGGGTAGATCTATCCACATTGTTCGCCGCCATCAGATAACATCTCCTTGTTCTGAGACCAGAAATACCGTTACTGCTCAGCCACGGCTCCTCAATCAGAATCACGTCAACTCCACCTTCCTCAAGTTGGAGCAAAAGATTGGCCTTTGAGCAGTGGAGATTAATCTTCATTCACCAGAATCTTTTCCATGAGCACTACATAGTTCTGCGCACTCACCTCGGGCTTCGACCCCACCGAACAGCCTTTCGAAACTGTAAACGCATCCTCCGGCAGGGAAGCCGCCCCAATGCTCTTAGCATCCGATTGAGCCGAGTCCAGCTCCATGTTCATAGCTCCAACGGCCACCCTAATTTTCTCTGATTGGGACCACAATCTCTCAGTGAAGTCTCCTTATAGAGAGACGTCTACCGTTCGTGGGTGCATTTTATGAGCTAATGTGGCATCATGGGCTGCATAAGCTCATAGGATGCGCCGACGAACGGTAGGCGTTTCTCTATAAAGAGACTTTACGATCGGGGCTAAAGTTGATGACCCTCAGACTGCAGTAGCATCAAAGAAAAAAAACGCTGTTATTTGTGCGATATAGATAAATTCAGTGATCACCCATGAGTGTCAAGTCGATGGATATTTTCACCAGAGCGTCGTCATTATCCATCTGAAGTGTATTCTATGCGGCTGTTAACACAGGGACCAGCGACGATGTTGAAACCATTGTATTCCTGGGATATTTTCTAATATAACTTTCGATCCGTATTCCTGTTTGCCAGCATCTAAAGCTCTTTGCAATCGCATCTTTATGTCTCTCTTTTTCTCTGAAATATACTTTGATTATTTTCGTAAATTTAGATTTTTCTAATTTTTTATTTCGCGGGCGCAGTAGTCGAATAATTAGGGCTAAGGTTCAACTTCTGGTTCTGGCCTTCCATAGGCCATCGCAGACCTCCGAGTTAATTTCTGCCTTGAAAAAAGCTTCTCATTAAAAACCATTTTCCGTTCAGAGTCGATGTAAATCTATACGTCCCTCAATTTTGTGTAATCAAGGAGCACAACACAAATTGGAAGAGAAGTCTGGCAAAACGCATAGAAAAATGTGCAAGCACCAAATATTTATGTATTTTATTTTTTATTGTTAATTTTTATTCTTCTAATTATTTTTACTTTATTTTATTTTACAATTTCAATTTTTTATTTGTTTTTAATTTCTCTTTATTCAATAAAAATACATTAACAGCCGGTTTCACCAGCAATTTAAATGGAAAATGATTTTTTATTTTCTGTCAATATCCATATAAAATTCAAAAAATTAAATTAATATTTTCACTAAAATTGCTTTCGTGAAATTGTCTGTAATTAACTGAAGAAAATGTTTAATTTTTTAATTTTGTGTATGAGTAGTTTTATAACCGACTTCAAAAAAAGAAGGAGGTTATAATTTTATGTTTCTTCGCGCATAACGTCTTTGTTTGTGAACCGATTTGAATGATTCTTTGGATTTAGTACAGTCCCACAGTGGTCCCATTATGAACTAGGTATAATCTCGGCAGTTACCGATTTCTTCCAAACTCGGTACAAGTATTTCCTTGAATCTAGCGAAACTACGGGTTGAATATTTTCGAAATCGAGAATGAGTTACGACCTATAGAAAACGGCGAAATACGCAAACTAAGATAAGTTTGTATTGATTTCGATAACTACTGAAGCCATCTCATGTAAATTTTATAATTATGTACAATAATCGCTTTTGAACATTGGCATGGCACCGCCCACTTATGATTACATACTTGGTATAAATATTTCTTTGAATCTAGAGAAGCTATGGATTGAAAAAATTTCAGAGTGCTTTGCTGTTTTTATTTGCTAATACTAAAAGTAGTAAAATAACGTTTTTGTTTTAGAACTAACTTCAAAAAAATAAAACAACAAGTAATTTTTAAGCAAAAAATATAACCGACTTCAATTCTCATATACAAATTTAACAGAATCGTGAATTTCTTCATGATCCAATGATCGGATATAAGCCAAATTAGTATGGGACCACTTCTGAGGGACTACCTTTCCTTTAAAAAAAATTATAGAAATGGGTTAACGTGGTCCAAAGTTATGCGGTAACATACATCAAAAAAAAATATATATTCCGACGAACTGATAACCTCCTCCTTTTTTGGAAGTCGGTTAAAAATTTACCCGAGCCACGACTTTTTTACCTTTGCTTAATTGTAGTTTTTATCTAATTCTCTTTATTTTGGTTTTAGTAAGGGATATTTTTTTTTTTTATTATACTTAATTTTTTCATACTTTTTATTAGAATTATTCTATTTTATATTTTGTCTTGTTTTATTTCGTTACTTACGTATTTAAATTAGATTTAGTTGTTTTATTTTTTAACTTAAA